AAAAAGTTTAGAATGGTTTCTATGTATGGTTTGGACGATGCTTTTGCCAGATAAGAAAACGATAAATATTGAAAATATGCAGTAATAAATATCGAATCGTATTTTTTAAAAATGCAAATAGATAATGAAGATTTCTAAACACGTATTTTTATAATTTACATACAGAATATTTCCAATTAAAGTTTTCCAAAATCAATCGAAAATATTCAAGTTTCAAGCACGGGTGAATTTTATCACTTTCTATTTCTAAGTAATACGACGAAAAATGATTTAAAAAACTACGTAGAACAAAATATTCTCTAAATTAATCTTTAATCAAATTACAAAGGAATCATCGGTGAAAAATTTATTAGGGGGAGCAAATAGGACGTGGAGAAGGTTGAGAAAGCTAAATGGTTGTATAAAGGCATTTCGGTGTGACGCGAAACCGAGACCAGCAACAGTTTCCAGTAAACGGTATATTTTAGCACAGACTTTCCCGTTTTTGCACGCCTTCGCAGCCTCATTAGACAGCAAGACCGAGGAAAAAGTGAGAGCTAGAATATATTCTCGTGCAAGGAAGACTCGATGCGAAAAGTCGTCTCCATCAAAGAATTTTGGATCATTATAATACATACGGCGTCTGTGCAAGAAACTGTACGACGATAACAAACTCCCTTAATTAACAGTCTACGCGTTTCCCAATCTTCCGTCTCGTCAAACTTCGGCCAGCCGTGTGCTTTAATTAGACGTTAAATGAAGTAAATCTAAAATGGAGGAGGGAAGCTTTCGCAAGTGCGCGACGGTGGAAGTGATTGAAGGCTGTCAGAACGAAAATTATTCATTGTTGAGATACAAGTGATTCGAAAAGGGTATATTAGTTTGAGGATAATTGTGCAAAATTAAATTTTTATGTACGAGATTAGAAAGAGATAGGAGAGGTTTTAAATATATCACGAACAGGATAAAATTCAACGCTCTTTTGAAAGACGTAATAATTTCCGATTTAATAATAACGATGTTGTTATTTGTCAAATAAGATTCTCAGAAACTCGATCGGATAAATCTAAAATCGTATTTTGAGAAGGAAAGTTGGCAGAAGAAAACAAGAGATCGGTAATATCTGTAATTGTCGAATTTCATTAGAACGAATCGATGGCTATTCTTTTCCCCTTGTGTTGTGCAACGAGAAAAACGATGGTGAACCGGCTTTTAAGAACGAACGATTTGCGGTTGGTCTCGGCAAGCAAGGATTCGTGTCGTGATTCGTAGAGAGTCAACCGATTTGACGACTGTTTATGTCCGAGGAAAGCAACCGAGATTTACCCTTGCATTTGTACGTATTAGCCTCGCTTTCGCAATTTATCGGCGGCCAGTTTCTCCGCCAATGGTTTTCTACTGGGCCCGGAATATAGGCCTTGGCATATAGAGAGTGACCAACGTCGGGTGTCAAAAACGATGCATCGTTGTTATGACACGCACGTTTCTCATCGATGACGTAGGAGATCGATAGTTTTCGCGTGTTTTGTTATGTTAATGCGAACACGCGAACGTTGATAATGGATCCCGAGGCTATGGAATGAATTAAAAAATTGCTCACATGTATTTTTCATTGAAGTGATTGAAGACAGTGGGTTTTAATAGTCCTAAACAAACGATTCGTTTTCTCTTTGTTACGTTATTTTAGAAAATTGCATCGATAGTGGGATGACAAATGGAATGAATTGAAAATTGTACTGCGTGTGTGTACGCTAGGAAGGTTAATTTTAAAGTTTAGATGAAGTGAATAGGTATAATTGGAAATTGAAGCGAAAAGTGAAGCGGATTTTAAGATATTAAATATTCTTAAATATTCCCTTTTTTTCGCTGGGGAAAAATTAGTAAGTTTGCTTTATGGTTGAAAAACTGTTCTAGAATGTAAATTGTGAGCACTTTTAGCGGAACAGTTATTATGAAATTATAGAGGTTTAAGCGTGAAAAATATTTTCTGCCACGTGGATTCTACAGTAGTACCTTTACAAGTTTTATGGTTCAAGGTAATTGGTGTAGCTATTGCCCCGTATATGTAATGTATTAGTTTTGTTAATGATATAATGAAACAATGGTAATACGATAATTTATTCTGAAATGGTTAACGTTAAAAGAAAATTTTATTACTGAACTACTACTTTAAATGGGGAACAATTTTTTCCCTTTTTTTTTTTAAATACTGCAATTTAACTTGGGAAAAGTGGTGGAAAATTATACAGAAAATTCAGCGTCGCTGCGTTATTTGGTGGAAAGTCGGTGATGCTTTGTAATCGTGAAGTAGAAAACGAGAAGTTTCACTCTTATGGTATACGCTTGCACGATTTATAAGAAGTTCGGCTCGCTAAAGATGCAATACCCGATTAATCTCGAAAATCAGTTCACACGAGATACCGATCTTTAAGATCCTAACGAGGATTATATAATTCTGAACAGTAGAAAATAAACGAAACGTATAAAAATTTGATATCGATCGATCGATATTAATAATAGCGTTTCAACAATGATAACGAATTAAACTTTTAGAAGCTAATAGTGGAGAAAGATTCATAACAGTTAGTTTATTTCTATTACGCACATCTGCTGTTATTTATTATCTATTAAACAGGATAAAATTAAAAAAAGATGTAGATTTTCACTGAAGAAATCGATCAATTGGATAATAATGATTTACGTCTAATATAAAGAGTGTATTGTGACTTGTATATCAAGTTTGACATTTATACGATTTAATAAAGTAAATTTTAAGGATTGTTTTATAAAAATTTTTATACAATTATATCTAATGATTTTAACAGAATTAAAAAATTTATAGGACATCACGTTAATTATTTTCCTTATTATTATTATTTGTGAAATACTGTTTAATTATGTTTGTAGGATTACAATGAGATTAAACTCTAGTTTAATTAAAAAAAAAAAAAAAAAAAAGAAGAAATGAAAAAAAAATTTGTAAAATGATAGGTTGTGCGTTAAATTGGTGAAAGTAGCTATAATAAAACTTCCCAAGTCTACTAGATATAGCTGATCCTCGATCAGTTAGCCTCTTATTTTTCTTTTAATAATGTTCCCAACAATTTCACGTAAGTTGAAAGTATATAAAAAAAAAGATGTTTACATTTTCCTAACTGTAATTGCAACGCAACTAAAATCAAACAATAATCAATTTCAATTATAATAGATAGAAATAATCGATCAATTACAGTTTATATAACTGAAATTATTGTTATTTAAATGAGAATGGACGATGGACGAGCTTCTCTCAACAGAAAGAGATAATTATAGAAAATGGGAGCGAACGAATAATGGCGAGTAATTCTTTTCGTCGAAAAAGAAACGATACGACAAAGGAAAAAGGGAGAAATTGAAACGCGCTTACGGTTTTACGCTGGTTTTCGCATAATTAATCGTTCGATCTCACGAAAGAAGTTCATGAGTGAAAACCAGAATGGATGAAAGTTCCCATAGAACTTAAGAATGAGAGAACTCTTCCCTTCTTTTCACGAGGAAAAAAATACTTTCGTTAATTATTTTTCTATAAATGGCTACACACAGAAATACAATACAACGCAAATTTATATATTTCTCATGTATCAATATTGAATAGAGAATAGATTGTTAATTGAATCAATTATAATATTCTGCGAGAAAAAAGAATAATGCAAACATTTTCATTTTTCCTTTTCTTCGAGTTGAAGAAAAATTAATAAAGTTTTTGATATTGAAATACAACGCGTTTCGTGTTCCATTTGGAAGTGCGAATTTCTTTCAATTAAGTTCGTGCAACTACGTGTAAATAACGAATGATGATAATTTAAGAAATTGTGAAATATAATGAAGGTAATTTTGTGAATTAGAAAGGAAATTGTACGAGATGTGAAAAGCAAGATTTTTTTTTTTTTAGGAGAAAAATAATTTCTACCATTTTACAAGCATTTACGCCGAATAATTACTTTTGAAAACAAACGTATGTGATAGAAAGATACGTAAAATAGAAAATTAAATTTGAATTAATCTTTAATCGATTTTGGACAGTAATTAGAAAATCGTCCTTTCATCGATTCTAAACAGGGTAAACGTAATATCGCAACCACCTTGTTTGCTTAATACACTGATCACTTAACATTAACATCCTAACATGGGGGCGAAAGTCCGTGGAAAGTATTCGAAGCACACTTCGTTGCGTAATTTTCAACTAACACTTCAAATTTCGAGTTAACACGGAGGCAGAATTTTAAACGAGTGGCGCACGACCGAGAGCAACAATTATTCCTTCGAAACGTTTAAATTTCGTGTAAAGTACACCTGGTTCTGAATCTTCTTGCAGAATCGAATCAAACAATTATTAACAAAACTTTTGAAATCACTTAATAGTACATTCTCTTACGTAACAAGTTTAAGTAACAACTTCATACAAGCGAAGTTTACGAAGATGATTGTCCTACAACAACAATAAAATTGTAGAAACTTGTGTACAGCCTCGGGTTTACAACCTGCAATTTACAAATTGTCAATTCTCTAAAATCAACAATTACATACCGTGCATAAATTATTTTGCGCGAGGAATAATCTGCCGAATTCAAACTTATCGCGAAAAGTAAAACTCGAAACTAATTTGATTAATTTATATAATTAATAAGAAGAACAAAACCGAACAATCAACGACCCCTCGTAATCCCAGGTCCAAATTCAAATTTTCACTTGCACAACATGAATGCAATGCGTAAATTCATTCGTAAATCTCTTAACATCCGAGTCACCGTAAAAACCTCTATATATATATACATATATACCGATCGATACTCGTCGAACACGAAAGCGCACACGCCTATTCTTTCTCAACTCGAAGGACACTGTCAATGAACTCTGAAAGGACATCTATCCGACACGAATCTACGCGCCCTCTGTCGAAGCTCGCGCTTCGAAACAGAGAAACAGAGCGATGCACGTGCGTGATCAAAACTGTGAAACTGTAAAATCCTTAAAGTACATACCAAAGATATAATCCTCATGGCGCACGGTTGGGAGAGAAGGAGGGTACAGGGTAGCCTCGTGGAACGATCCTCCAAGAGTTTCACTGAGAGAGTGCAGTCGTATAGTACGGAGCTCGGTCCTTTATAACCTATACGAACGGTTTTGCTTATAGTGGGGGCTAGTAACCGCGTCTCCTCTTGGACACACGGCGTTGTAACAAGCCGCAAATTAGATTCTCGTGAGGCCGGTCGCCGGCATGGCCATTGCCAAACCAGAACGCCACGGGGCCTCGCGTTGCCAAATTGTATGAAAGCGTGCGTGTATGCGTGTGTTGTGCATTGTGCAAAAAAGGGAGGGGTGAAGCGGGTGGTATGTAGGTCGTGCGAGCACCATGATCGAGAGAATCAGCGTTTTATAATCGCGAATCGATAATGATCTGCGTTTTGTAGGGAAGTGTTATCCTTTGACGCGTAGATTGCATTCAGATTTTTTTCGATGGCGCGATGATGTAACTCGATTTCGAGGATTCTTTCGAGAGGTTGGGCGAACGTGAGGATAATTTGTATTTCCTTTTTTTCCTTTTTTTTTTTTGGAATGTAGATAGTTTAAAAGAGTCTTTATAGAGATTCTTTTTTATATGATTATAATAACATGTAATACGTGTAAGAATTGTATAGATGTTGGAGAAACGTGAGAAGTTGAGAGGAGTTTAAGAAATTTACATTTTGAAATTTTATTCTTTATCTGTTCCCCAATTAATGGTACATTTTATTAAACTGATGTTATTTGCAAATAATGTGCTTGTCTCGTTTAAGTTATTTATACATCTTTTCTCAAATTATATTTGTATTGTATTTTAATATGTATTCGTATGCATATTCTTCATTGAAAAGTTATAACGGAAAGATGATATCGCGATTACTTTGTTATCTGCAATTAATACGATCCGAACGAGTGAAGATCTCTTCGATCTCCAATGTTAAATCGTTATCGATAATTTCTCAAAAAAAAAAAATTGGTGTTCAAAGTATTAATTAATAAGTGTTTTAATCCACAATACTATCCACGCACGAATCATCTGTTCGAAGAAAGTGTGTGAGAATATCACGATATCGTCTATTAAAAACGTCTTGAAAATATTGCATTTTAATTCGGAATAGAGTCATAATTAATTGTTTCACACCTCGCGTATGGAACAACACGCGTATTATTTGAACTTATATTATTAAGAGATCGATTCCCCCTTTCGCTGATATTATTCATAATTCTCTCTTACACGCTCAGTCGATTTATTCGAATTATTCGACTATTTCGAAAATTGCCGAGAAATTGTTAAGTTAAATTGCTCTTGAAACTCGCCAGGTGAGAAATATACAAGCGAACGTGATCTCGTTAGTCGTTTTTTCATTCGGCAAAATTAACATCGAATTTAGATGAAAACAGAAATTTGTGATTTGCTCGTAATAAGGAAATATCCGAATATTCTGCGATATGATATATAGATAATACAGATGGAATTAGGAAGTGTTATAGTGAATTGTGAACAGTATCACAGTGAAAGGCAGAAATCTTTACATCGAAATCGTATAAATATATTTCATAACGCGGCAAAGAAACGCGATTAAATTTATCCATAAATTTATATGTTTCTTCATCGGTATATCATCGCGATGTTGAATGTAAAACGGAATCAATAACTAGTAACCTGCTTTATCGGTGATGATTTATATCTGATCGAAGAGCCGGTTTCTCGGAAGAAAATTCACTTACCTACTTTCATTACCGAGATCACTCGACGATTCCAGCTCACTTTCGGTATCATCAATGAGAAGATCAGGCGAATGGATCCACAACTCGAGACTCGTTTTACGTCGTCCTTCGCAACAGGAATTCCGATTCATCGTTTCTAACTCGTCCCTAGCCACAGTTCATTATCAATGTTACTATAACTTGCGCGTATTTCATCAGAGCAGTTCGTCTTCTGTGTAGAATTTGATTAATAGAAAAAAATTGTGAAATGTATTTCGATTGCAAATGCAATAATTTTATCTACACGTTTACAAAATATTTTTACAACTTATTTTTTCTTTTTAATTTTTCTCTAATTTGTTTGTGCGACACAAGATCAAATGTGAAGTAATTGATATTTAAATATCGGTGATATTAATTTTATCTTTTAAGTAAAAAAAAAAATAAACTTTGTGTAAATTATCGTTATCAAAGTATTTACGAAGAGAATCGTAAAAAAGATCAAATTATGTTATTTCTAACATCTGTTGCTCTTCGTGTATCACTTTAATCATTATATGTCGATACACATATTATTACACACATATTTTCTAACGTGAAGATAAACTAATTCAACGGATACTCAAATAGCCTTCTTAGAACTTTCCAAGGGGAAAGTTATTTTCACGAGGCTGTTTTCGCGTTCGCAGCTGTAAGAGTTCATTTACAATTTCGTTCTTTGTTTCCTTATCTCGAAATAGTTCTTATCCTTTTTTTTTTCTTTTACCAACATTACATAAAAATTTCAAATTACAATACTTTTGACGCGTGTAATTAATTTTTAAAACCAATTCAAAGTTTCTCTCTTTTTTTTTTTTGCGGAAATCTCACATAACTTCTACCAAATTAATATCCCATTACTTTCCCTTAATCGTATTAATTCGAATGTACATTGATCGCCTGCTAAACAGATTTAAATTAAAATAAAACGTAGACAGATGTATCTCGAAATGCTTTTTAACGAAAAAAATTTCTTTCGCGATCTCGAACAAAGTGCATCGATAATTTTAATCGTTTTATTTCTACCTAATGTTTATTAAACGTAAGCGTCGAACGTGTTGCCACCCGTTTACGTGAAATTCCATCCAATAGGTCGCGAAATAGGTTGCATCAACCGATCGACGATTTCAACGATGACGATAAATTCCATCGAAGTAAGGAGTCTCGGCTTCTTGTATAACTATGGACAACTACAATGTTGAAACCCGCGGGCACATTTTGCGTGACTCGCTTAGACGATAACGAACATCGGTTGTTTCTCTCGGTCGATACAGTTTTATAACGAGCGGCAATGCATTCGGCGTAATTTCTGTTTCGTGATTATCATCATTCGTCATTGTCGAAATTGGGAATGCAATAGTCGATTCAACGGTTCAAAATTACTTGGAACGCGGAAGGAAGTGCGAGCAGTTTTGATAATGATTACTTTCTCTGGATCTAGATTCGATCATTTTGCGCGTGGGTGGGTACCATTCCTTGAAAATTACTCCTCAGAATTTCCCACACTTTTCTTTTTTCGAAGCTTTCTTAGAATCGAAGAGATATTGATCCTTGTTGCAAAGCCTTTTAAACTTAAAACTTTTTTCTTCCCCTTAATTTGAATGCAACTGTTCAGAATTTTGTTGCAAATACACGTTTGCAATTCTTGTCCCTTCTTTTTCTAAGATTTCACAATTAAAAAGAAAAAAATATCGATTCTGTATTAATTCCTCTCTGATTCTGTAGATGAAAATTTAGATCGTTAATTGTTCTTGTCCTCAAAAATTTCGGCAAGACGAAAATCTGTTTGTGACTCAAAGATCATAAATCTATCCTTGAAATTCGGGTTGTTCTATTGTGCGCGATTATGCAAAGTACGAATCTTCGTGTAACGCGTTACACCTGAGCCGCGAACGTGATGGCTGTAACCTCGATGCAACGACGAAGAAGGTCAATGCACATGGAGTAATGCTCACCTCGAGCGGAGGTGCATCGTGACACGAACGATTGGCACAATGCCGACGTGTCGTTCGTCATTTGTCCTGTAATCCTTAACGCCATCTTCATACTAACACTTTGAATTTCGTGTCATTTACTATTTCTGCTTCGTACGTTTCATGCTTTTTATCTTCCATTCTACGTGATGTCGTTTCTATCTTCTCTTTATTCTTGTTACAGAACTTCACACAAGGTGATCGAATCAAGAAAACAGGAGCGAAGGACGCCGCGATTGGTGAGTCAAAAACGAACTTGCTTGATTCGTCTGTTACGAATCTCTGTCTCTGCTAATTTTGAAGTATATCGATGAAAGGAGAATTTGTATGGAAAGCGTAATTTATTATATAATTGATATATAATAAATTAATTTTATTAGAAAAGATTTTGAAACGAGTTTGAAATACATTTCTTTTTTCTATCAAAAAAAAAAAATTAAAATTTTAAAATCTTCGAAATTCTTCAAAATTACGTCAGACAATACGTAACACGTTATTTAAGGATATTCTACGATGCTGGCCAAAACGGAAAAATGAATATTCATGGTTGTGAAAAAATACAATGGGTTCGTATTTTTCTTCGAAATCTCTTTCATCGAGTTAAAACACCGTGATTCTCGAGCTGTTTAAAAGAATAACCGGTGTTGGGACATCGGAGGAAATGTCGTTGTACCGTAGAAAACTGGTGGAATTGCAACAAAAAGACGCGTCTTGGGAACGTACGAATTTCGGTGGCCGAGATCTGACGGATAAAAATTAAAACTTCGTCTCGCTTTTAAGCTTGTTCGCGTTTACGTGAGAGCGTAACTTTGACTCTTATTCATTCGACTCGCGCGAGTTTCGACATTTTTACCATCGAGAAAAGACAACGGCGAATCAACACCAGGTTTGCAGAAGCGTGATCCGGGTTGCCGTTACCGCAGGCTGCATTCACGATACCATTCACCAATGATCCGATGGTAAGTGAAACATTCACCAGCAAAAGTATAAAATTTTTTCTTACAACTAAAAATTATTCCCGTTCTATTGTATTTATATAGAAAAATTTAGATGAATCAAATAGATGTCGAAAAGAATAATTTTTATTTAAACCTGTTTCGTTTTTCGCTCAAATATTTTTTACGTGAAATTTTATTTTTTTTTTTCTCTCCTCTTAATAAAAAACGAACGAAAGCGAGAATGAACGTGAAAAAGATAAAAGTTGAAAAGGAAAACAAAAGTTTTCTATCGCAATCTTCTACGAGGATTTAAACGCTAAATCCTTGGAACGAGGAGAAAAAAATTGAAGTTATACCACTTTCACACTCGTTCCCCTGTAATTGCACAGGATTGAACAGGACGGTTGAATCTGTTCCTGTTTTAAAATCTGACGTAATAATCACACGATACCATTGTTACACGTAGTTCAACGTAAAACGAGCGTCCTTTATTCGTGAAGGTCGAACGTAGAAATTTCGTAACTGAAATTCCAATCTAGACTGAAGTTCCGGTACAAACTTGATGTCGATCGCCTTCTCTTATTTTTATCGCGGAATAAATAATTCGAAAGGTCGTTTGTTGCTGACTGGTTATACGAGCTGGACTGGTGGAAAAATAGGCGTAATTAGAAAGTTGGCGGATACGGTTCGAAATAATCATAATGCTCTGCGTAGGTTGGAAACGTTTATTTCTTCATTATTATCTTTATCATCGTGTATTAACAAAAATTAAAACGAAACGTATTTATCTGCAACTTGCTATATGTAACGAGAGAGAGAGAAAGAGAGGGACAGAGAGTGAAAAATACTTTGAATCTTCGTTTGATAGTATAGCTTAATATCAGTGTTATACACAGAATAATGAAAGATTTGACGATTTATTCCAATCCGATTTCACCTTATAACCTTAATATCTTAATTAGAATATAATAGTAAGCGTGCTGAATTTATTGTGCGGAGACGCGTAATCGAAGACGCAGCTTGACAAAGCGAGGTTCTCCTTGAAATCGAAATTAATTAACGGTACCGCCGATAATAGGTGCAAGCTGCGCTCTCTAGGATTAAAACCAGCACGGAAGCCTACCGTGGAATTTTTATTTACAACATTTTTACAATCTTCCTTCTCCATCATCATCATCATCATCATCATCATCAACGATTTTCACGCGTTTTTTTCCTCGCGAGATGGAAACGAAAGAATCATCTTCATCGGAATCGAAAATCCCTAATTACGAATAAATCCTCGACAAAATGAAATAGAATTTCGATAAACCTCGTCAAATATTCGAAGATCGTTCTTTACATTTCCATGCTGTGGCTTTCATCAAACGTCGCAATTAATTCCAATGGCAAGAATGAACTCGTCGTACCCCGATCAAAGTACAAATCGGAAGTACGACACCAGGTAGGCAGCCATGACGAGTTACTTATTACCGAAGAAAAAGTCGAGAATCTTTCTTGCTTTTCCATATTCCAAAAAAAAAAAAAAAGAAAGAAAAAACGAAAAAAACGATCGAATTAATTCTCGATGCTTCCTCCGATAATGGGATCGCGACCTACGCGCGATCGCGAAAAGGCGGCCGTGGATCGACGGGCCGACACTTTAAATTAATTAAAACGATCAGAAACCGTTTCCCCTCCGTCGAAGCGTCGCGTCTTCACACGTTTACGGACCGTTTACAAATACACCGTGACGAACACGAGGGAGGGTGGGACTAGAGTGATTCTAGTAATAGCCGAAACTGATGTCGTGCAAGGGTGGCGCGACGCCCTGGGGCAGGGCGTAGTCCCTGGCCAACTGATCGAGGATACCGCCGCTCTGGCTGCGCGGTTGCGGTTGGGAACGGTGCTCTTGGACGGGTGCAGGCCCGAATTGTGCCGGTCCTTGGTTGTACAGTTGGGACGGTGGGACAGGTTCCTCCTGCTGAAGCAGCGGATTCTGCTTGGCGATGGGGGATGCTGGCGTGAAGATCGGCGGTTTCGGGACGCCGCTCGACTGTCTGGACGGCAACGGTGGCGAGTAGACGGCCTGGGTGTGGGTCTGGGTGGGGTGTTGGTAGGCCGGTTGCTCGTATTGAATCTGTTGTTGCTGAAGGGGCGCGGGGCGGGGCGCAGGCGCTCTGACAGGTGGTTGTCTGGGGGGCGGTGGTTGTTGGTACTGCTCCTCTTGATAGTTGTGCGCTTGGAGGGCCTCTTTGCTGGTCGTCTCGTCGACCAGGGTCGGTGGCGCGACCGTGATACCCTCGCCAGCCGGTTGGAACCCGTATTGATTCGCCCCGTATTCGACCACCCGCACCTTCCCCGTGTCGTCCACGAAACCGTATTTACCCTTCACCTCGCCTGTCGGCAGTTTCGTCTCGATCTTGAACGAGCCATCCGCTCCCTCGAACCCGTACGTGTACGACCCGTCCTCGTTGTGCCTGTTGATCTGTTTCAAGATGGCGACAGGGGTTGGTTTCGGGGTGGTGGGGCCGGCCGATTGCCTGTTGGGCGCAGAATCAACGGGGTAACTTCGGGGGGTCGGGTGGGCCGGTCTCGGGGACTCGTACGCCGAATACTCGTCCACGTAGTTGGCACCTGGTTGCTGGTATTGCTGGCCCGATACCGAGAGTATGGCAGCTACCGATGATAATAGTACCTGGAGGACAAGAGGTCTGATGTTAAATCGAGAGAAAGATGTGGAAAGGTCTTTAACGAGAGAGAGATTGGATAGAGTGATATGAGGGAACGACGAATAAAAGTGTATAAAGATATTTACTTATTTTGCTCGTAATTTTGTACAAGAGTAAATAGGATACGAATTAATAAGAAGCATTAATCAAATTATCTCCGTGATCTAGGTCTTAACCGTGGCTTTCTAATCGATTGCAGGTGTACTCGTAAACGCCTCGTAAAGATCATAACTGCATTATCTCAGCGTCTTATTACTTCCGCTTTCTCCTCGCGAGTTATGCTTCGCAGAAACTATCGTGGTTACACAAGTAACCGGTACAAGCCTGTATTGCGTTTAAGAAAAATCCTTCTATATCTATATATACACAGACTTCGTATTTTTTGTTCCCAATTTATGGTAATTTACGGTAAACGGTGTCCTGCGAGCAAATCGAGAATCGCTATAAATTTTTGGAATTGGTCGCGACTAACGGTACTCCATTAATCTTAAAATAAATCGTAATCGTTCGCAGAAAGGTGTGAGCTCGGTGATGCATGACCCTCCATGGAGTTACCAGAACCTTAACCGCCAGACGTGACTTTATTACACCACCTCGACTCGAGTAGATAACCGCATTCGAAGGATACCGGATGCCTTCACGCCTCGTTCGACAAGGTACACGGTAAAAGTCTCGGTTTTAATCGCGTCAGACGAGCGGTGATCGCGCGTGTTTCGCCTTTTGAACTATTAATATTACGTTCGATCGAGGATGAGCGTAACACGATTGTTCAATTCGAACACGAGAATCGTCGAGTTTTAACAACATGCGCGACGCACTTCCTCTGTTCAGTTCTGCACGAATGACCACGACGAACGAGAAACGCTTACCACACGCAACCAACACGCGCTCTGTCCAATATAATTCCTCAACGTGTTTCTGCTATTATATAAGTATCTTTCCGAATAGGCGGCCGAGAAAATCGGTCGGCTCGCTTTCGTGATTTTTTCGTGAAAGAGGAATAATTCCGAATAACGTGTAACAATGGTATAACGTGCATACCGTTTCTTGCGTAATTTGTAATAATGATTTCGCGATTTTTAAGGATATTTAGTAGAGTATTATCGACCGTATTAAATTATTCGTAACGTGGATCACACATAAAGATCCGGATCCGATATAAAATTGATCTCCTCTTTGCTACACGATCGAGCAACGTGTTCAACGTTTCCAAATTATTCTCCGATAATTAATCAAATATCTTACGAGGTCCATTCGGCAATGCAACACAAATCACAAGCACAGTTCCTATTTTTTGGAGAATCGATGATCACATCACACACGCGAGATTGAAATTTCAGGCTTGAAATCGCGATAATAATCACCAATGATTTAACAACGAGTTGAGATCGTATAAAAACGATCCCATTTTTCTTTCTTTCTTTTTTTCCTTTTCTTTTTTGTAAGGAAAAGATATTAGGTTGCTCGAAGGATTGCTTAATTTAGGGGGAAAAAG